TATCGACTAAGGCTTCGGGTCCATGCGCCTAAAAAAAGAGCCTGTTTTGTGCAAGCGTTCGGTAGGTATGTAAAATGTTTTTAAGACCAACCTGCGGAAATCATGCTGCGACTCATAATATTGAAAATTTTGTAAATTTCGGGAAAAACAACGAAGCTTTCGAATTTATTTCAATTTAGTACGATTATCGACTAAGGCTTTTTGTGTCAACTGCTAGATAAACCAGCAGTTTTAATGTTGGGGTTTAGAACATATAATTTTTTGCTTCAAGCTTGAAAAGTCAGACTGAAAATCTGCAACTGAGAAAAAAATTCTAGAAAATTAATTAAAGCTTCAAAACTCTTCCAAATTTGCACACGTATGTACTAAGGCCTCTTGTAACTGCAGTTAGAAAACTAGTATGGTATCTGCAACAGTTTGGAAAGCAGAATTTTTTAAAGCCACACCTGCAAGTATCGAAAACGTTAAGACGTTCTAGAAAACCAACGAAGTCTGCGAATGTACGGACATTTTGTACAATTATCAACTAAGGTTTCTTGTACAATGCTGTAGGTGCTCAATAAACCTTGTTGGTCTTGTTTTAGTTGGGTTTGCAAAGTATGATTTTTTAAGCCAAACCTGCAAACGCACAAGTTTGTACTATTGCCCTATACATGTCGAAAATTAAAAAATTTCTAGAAAATCAGCGGAACCTCGGTAGGGATTGCAAATTTGCCTTCGTATCAACGAAGGCGTTGCTTGACTGTAGCTAAAAACTTAGGCTGTTATCAGCAGGGGTTTGGAAAGCAGAATTTTTTAAAGCCAAACCTGCCAAATCATGCTTTTACTCTAAACACCGGACATTTTGAAAAATTCTAAAAAATCAACGATGCCTTAAAATATATTGAACTTTTGTACAATAATAAACTACGTCTTATTATTACTACTTATATTACGAAATTATCGGGTGTGAAAAGTATAAATTTTTAAAGCCAACCTTGTAAAATCTGGTTAGAAGTTTACATGTCGAAAATTTGAAAAAATTGTAAAAAATCGGCAAAAGCAGGAAAACTGTTGCAATTTTGCACGCACATCTACAAAAGTTTCGTCTGTTTCCAGCTATGGAACAAGCCGGTTTTGTTAAAGCAAAACTGAAAATTTATAGAAAATCAACCAAGCATCCAAATGTATTGAAATTTTGATCCATTATCAACTGAGACGTCTACTGTGAAGAGGTAAATAAAGCATTTTTGTGCTTAATGGGGTTTGGGAAACATGATTTTTTAAAGCCAAGTCTGCAAGTTAAAACATAAAAAGAAAGATACCGTCGGTTAAAGACCATGGCCTCGAAAAACTGACTAAAATTGGTCAAAAGTAGTTTTTTCAACATTAATTTTTCAAATGCTCCTACATAAGAATAGCTTGGAACACGCTAAATTTCATAGGAACAAAACCTGTAAGCCAAACCGAAGGACTTGCAGGGGCGGATCCAGCTTTAAAGTCAGGAGGGGGCGTTATGTAGAAAAAATACAGTCTTCTGTTATCTATGAAATTAGAAAAATTATCGTCGTTTTGGCTGGCGCAAGATTATTGCAAAATTTCATGTTTTCCGTCCCGTTTTGCATGTTTCTCGGAAGCAAAATGAGCAAGAGCGCTCGTTTTTACATCATTCCAGAGATAACTAAATGG